TTTTTTTTTTTTTTTAACATTTATTTATTTTTGATACAGTTCGGGTTTTCTTACCGGGCACTGGTTTCCTCCACAGATTCTATTCATGAATGTCTGCTCTGGTAAACTGAGACTCCCTATATTTGCCAGTTTGTCTTTGGTATTGGGGCAGTGGTTTGTCTTATGACTTACCCCCCCTTAAGGATCTGAGACAAATTGTTGTTTTTTTTTTTTTAGTCTGTTCAGCTTTTTTTTACTTCTTGTAGCATGCAGTGGTGACTTCCAATCTCCTTAAATGCTGTTATGACTTTGTTAAATTGACATTTGTTAAGTAGGGCCCCTGGGTGCTAGATGGTAAACCTTGGTTCAAAAAGACCACAAGAGAAATCAAAGTGGGAGAAATTTATTATTCACAGGTTCTGGAGGAAGTATATGGCATACCTTGAGGGTTCCACAGGGGGAGATCAAGGCAGGGTACAAGCAGAGAGACATGTAGGAACTGGGGCACATGCTAAGGCCAGTTTCGTGAATTCAAAACAAAAGAGTGTAGAAGCTCCACTATAGTCTTACTTCACGGAAGGCCCTGGAAGGTGAGGGAGACTGTTGGTCACAAAGGGCATTGGGGAAGTCATATCAGGCACTTACATTTACTTGTGACCTTGCAGGCTCTTATCTAGGGCATGTGCTTGTTTGCATGAGGGGCTAGTTAGCCAAACTCTCCCCATACGTGAAACTGGAAACAGACCTGCAATACATTTTTAATATATTTATTTCAAGTGATCCTAAAAATCTTTGCTTCTGGAATAATTTTAAGGTAATAGGCTAGGAAAGAATTACTTCCTGAAGGTTTACATATTCTTAAATTTTTAAAAATGTTTTATTTATTTTTGAGAGAGAGGGAAAGAGAGAGACAGAGTGTGAGTGGGGAGGGGCAGAGAGAGAGAGAGGGAGACACAGAATCCAGAACAGGCTCCAGGCTCTGAGCTGTCAGCACAGAGCCTGATTCAGGGCTTGAATTCATGAACCCTGAGATCATGACCTGAGCTGAAGTCAGATGCTCAACCAACTGAGCCACCCAGATGCTCCTGAAGGTTTACATATTCTCTTAAATTTAAGCCAGTTTATAATAATTAAGGGACAGGAACTTGTTAAGAAATATAAAATAAGACTTTCTTTGTATCAGATATGTCTTAAATCACTAATAGTAAATCATCATTGTAAAAGATTACGACTTACCAGAAAACTAAGATAATTAACTCTTTTCCCAAAATACCTAGAAGTAATAGCCATTGGATGAGAACATGGATTATACACATACTGACTTACCAGGGCCTTGGCAACAGTTTCCATGGATATTTATATTTGTTAATTGTTAATATTTGTTATTTGTTTGTTCTAATGCAAATGAATGTATGATTGGAAATAACAATTATATATATATATATATATTAGATATAGCTTTTTATTAAATCAAGTGGAGATTAATTTATGATCTAGAGTTAGGAATTTATCCTACTGGTTGTGTTTTGAATCTATTCAAGTTTTCTGGAATTTTGACTTTTTTTTTTTCCTATTCTCCTCACCTGTTGTTTCTCCTGCCAAGTCAGAGTGCTCTACTCTTTTAAATTGTTGGTTGGTAAATAATGAATTGTATCAAAAATTTTGATTTACCACATTTGTTTTATATTTTTGGTATCCCTTCTTTTCTTAGATTTCTATGGGAAGCCACTGCCTCCCCTGTCTGCGCGACAGAGGCCTAACAGTGATGCTCATGATGTGGTTTCATAACCGAGTCATGTGATGAGCTTTTTAAAGATCTGCAAGATCAACTAGAAGACCTTCCTTCTCAAAGAAGAAAAACCCTAAGCATTGATGACTGGGGCAAGATAACCATAGTGATTTCAGTGAGAGAAATAGCCAAAGACCTGGCTGATATGACAATTATCCATGTTATTCGTGGTTTAAAAAAAAGGAAGGAAAATGACCAATAGATGGGATGAGCATTTGAATCAAGTTAGCAGGAGTTACTGTTGACTCTGGTTTTTACAGTCCTGCTCATGGGCATATTCCTGAAGGGAAACCTCTTCAGAAAAAGAGCCAATGGACTCTGCACACTTTCTTTACTATATGTTTAATAGTCTTTATTATTGTATCCTAAACATTTTTTGTAAGATACATGTGCATGGAAGGGGAACTCTTGGGAATTTATAACCTAAGTTTTTAACTTTTTATATTTTTCTAAAACTTATAAGAATTTTAATTATTATGATATCGCCTGTGCACTTTTCTATAGATGCTTTGTTTAAATTGTGTCTGGAAATGGAGTTGATTTACTTGACAAACATGAACTACACAAACAGGACATATTTATATGATTTAAGGTATATTTCATAATAGTATTGTTCTTGAAGTGTACATTCTAATTTTACCTAATTTTAAAGTAATGCCTTTTAAAAATAGATTCTTAGATCTTTACTCTACCAAATTATATTATTTGAAAACACTACCCAAGGACAGTTCAATTTTTTTGTCATTTGCTTTTTTTTTTTTTTTTTTTTTTTTGGTGATGATCACAATAAATCAAGGAGACTTGAAATACTTTTTTGACCTATATGCTTTTTAAATGAATAAAAATGTTATGTGAGATATTATTAAAATTCCTAATGAACACCTCTTTTATAAGATAGACCTTTCAGATCAGGATGCTCCTTGTCACCCCCTCATTCTATCAGAAGCTTCAATGACTCTTTTAGGTTAATTCTAATTGTTTTGTGCCTTGGAAATAAAGGCAGAGAGCCTGAAAAAGCCACTGTAAGTACAGAGACTTGTGTTTTATAACCAGGAAATGCTTGGGAACTAATCAATAGGAATAAAAAGGTTGGCTTAAAATTACGAAATAATTCCAAAATAATTTCCCAATTTAAAATAATAGCACTTTTCTTGCAGTAAAGAATGGCATCTGTAGAATTCTCTACTTGTCTGGCATTTAGACAAACTTTTAGAAATATACTTTGAGTAATAGATTCATAATGTTGCATTTAATTGAAAGTGTACGTTTATATCAAGGTGAAAATGCAATATGAAAATACAATATGAATCCTTATCACCTTGTTAAAATTGGTAAGTTGGGTAACTTGTACTGACAACAGACATATACTAGTATCTAACAATAACAAGATTAAGTAGGTCTAAGGCAGTTTAATATGGTTATTTACTTTAAAAGTTTAACTTTGGAGCATCACATTTTAGTCATATTTTATAACAACCTAAATTTGATAAATGGCTGAAATGTAAGGAAAAGCAACACAAGAAGGCAGAATGTAAATTTTGAATTGGATTTTAGAGAAAAACTTATTTGTACATCTTTTTGGCTCCTTTTTGTAACATTTACATTTAGTCATTTTTTTTAAAAAACTGAACTTTTACTTTTGCCATCTTTTAAATTTTCATCTAGTTTGAGAATAAAGGTTAAATTTTTTTGTTTCCTACCAGTGATTACTGTAGTGTACAGTAATTATTGAGTTCATTTATTAGAAATGAATAAAAATGATTTTGAAATTAAATATATGATAAAGTGAAATAAATGTTTTATATCTCTCTCTCAAAAAAGTAATTTGTATTCTTAAAGCATTCTAAAAATATTTTAAAAGAAGTTTTGTAAATCCAGGTTGCTTTTAACAAGTAAATGCCTATTTTGTTATATGCTGTATTTTTGTTCATAATCATCATGAATTATGACATTTTCACACAATAAAAATAATTTATATCAGTATCCTGCTTTGCTTTTCATTTGATAAATTTAAATGATTTCTTTTTGGTAATAAAATAGAAAAGGATTTTTCGAATATGACTTTTGGAAGAAATTTTAAGTCAATAGATTAAAATAATGATATTTATATGGAACCTTTTTTCTGCACACAAGTTTTTATGTTTGTAGAAAAGAATATTGTCATTTTAAAGGCAGTTAAAAATAACATCATATTACTTTATGATTCTAGATGATCCAATGTCTGTATTTTGTTAAAGCTGCTACTGATCCAAAGATAATATTTTTACTTATTTCAAAAATAATTACTTATTGCATAATTCTTTATGCAAAAGGCATACATAACATATATCCAATATCATAAGTGATTCTAACTATGACACTATGATAGCAGCACTAGAAAAAAATGTTCCAAAACATTAATAATGAATTTTTTTAGAGTTATTGGTTGTGTGTTTTCCTCAATTTTTCAGACTAATTTTTAAAATTTTGCTTACTTTTATCATGGGAGAATCAAACTTACAATTTTGTAAAAATTAAGTGCCATGTTTTCTGCAAGCTTAAAATTAAATGGTCTTTTAAGTGTCAAATGAAAGACTTAATATATAAAATTTATTTTGAATAGCCCAGAAACATTATAGAATGTGCCATTATATTTGCAGCTGATCTCTTACTAAGTATTCTTTTACTAGGACAATATTTTATTTTATTTGATACTTAGTTCTATGTGCTATATCTTTCATATTATTCAATTTCTCCTGTTCTGCACTAATGTAATACTTCTAGGTGTCAAAAGCTTATCAAAAATGAAACTGCTTATATAAATAAAGCTGTTGCTTATAAACTTTATTATCCTTGGCTTTAAATACTTAAGTTTTCTCTATGTGGAGTAGACTTTGCAAGTGAGATTCTGCTAATGCTATTTATCAAGAAAATATTCCATCTGATCCAAAAAACAGATTCAGATATTTCAAGACTTACTTTAAAGTATGATTATAAATTATCAAAATAACAATAATGCATTGGCTTTGTGGACACACTAATGGAAGCCTTTTGCAGGGGTAGAGGGGAGATAGGAAATCAGAAATGAATTGCCTTTATTTTTACTTAATTTTTTAAATGTTTATTTTTGAGAGAGAGAGTGCATGTGCACACGAGGGAGAGGCAGAGAGGGAGAGAGAATCCCAAGCAGGCTCCTTGCTGTCAGCTCAGAGCTAGAGGACGAGAGACTTGATCTCAGAACCACCGTGAGATCAGGACCTGATCCAAAATCAAGAGTTGGTCACTCAACCATGTAAACCACCCAGGTGGCCCAGAAATAAATTTCCTTTATGAAGGAAAGCTGTTTATAATTGAAGGAAAAATAGGAATATAATTATTTGCTTGTTTAGAGCCTGAGTTGTAAATTCTTTCTGTGTGCTGATGAGGAAACAGAATTTATGATCTAGGTAAATGAGTAAGTGGTCTCCATATTTTTATGACACCTCTTTTCCAGTAAATATTTAAGTTATTGTATTTGTTTGGTAGATCTGCCATAACATGTATCGAAGGCTTGGTGGATCAAACAACAGAAATTAATTTTCTCACAGTTCTGAAGTCTGAAAGTCCAAGATCAGTCTGGAACCTTGTTGGCAGGATTGGTTTCTTCTGAAACTTAACTCCTTGGCTTATAGATGGCCTCCTTTTCCCTGTTTCTTCACATGGTCTTTATACTGTGTGTGTTCATTCTTAGCATCTCAGCCTGTTTAAATTTCCTCTTTTTATAAAGATACCAGTCAGATTATATTAGGACCCACCCTAAAGGCCTCTTTTAACTTACTCACCTCTGGAAAGAGTATTTCTAGTCACATTCTGAGGTACTGGGGCTTAGGGCTTCAACATATGAATTTTGAGGGGGTAAGTTTCAGCTCCTAACAGTTATATACATGTTCGGCTATACTTTGTATATTACATCTCCCTAATTTTTGTTTAAGTTTTGATAAAGTTAAATAAAAATACAAGTTATATTTACTTCCCAGTCCCAGTGGATTGTTTGTACATACCACTTTGGGGACCAAAATAATAAAATGAGAGTCTCTGCTAATTAGCTACTCTCCTGAGGTGAAATTTCAAGATTCCCTCTAACTATGCTTTGTTCTCTTGCTTTGATTGTGAATTTCTCTGTTTTGTTTTTCTGCCATTCATTGTAAGGAGCTAATGGTCTTTTGGCATTAATTAGATTGTTTTACTGCAAAGCTTGTCTTTACCTTTTTGACACACCAACCTCTCTATAAACATGAGGGTTTTGAGAAATGTTTTATGTAAATATGAAAATTCGTAAAACATACAGAAGCCTATAAAGTATACCTATTCTGAAACACTTTTTTAAAATCTTTATTTGTTTTTGAGAGAGAGACAGAGAGACAGAGCCTGAGCGGGGAGGGCAGAGAGAGTGAGACACAGAATCCAAAGCAGGCTCCAGGCTCTGAGCTCGATGTGCGGCTCGAAGTCAGGAGCTGTGAGATCATGACCTGAGCCGAAATCAGCCACTCAATCGACTGGACCACCCAGATGCCCACTGAAACATTTCTTATATCAAATGGCTTTGTGATAAAATTGCTTAGATACGTAAAAATTCCTTTCCTGCCCAGTGTAGGTCCTTATTAAGTTGCTTTATTCTTTAGTAATAATAATAAAATATATAATTGCTGGTATTTGTGTCAGCTCAATTTGTTATATCTGCAGTGATTTAAAATAAGTCTGCTAACAGTTTCTATTTTTAAAATTCAGTGTGGAGCTTTGTTTATTCTTCAGTAGCTATTTGGTGTGAGATAGGGGAAGTCCACTAACATTCTCATGATACATTAATGTTGATTCTAGATAGAGTAATGGGTTAAATATTAAATATCAAACTGTAAAGAAAAAAAAAAGAGAGGAAGAAACAAATAATAGCTTGCCTCTGTGAGAAGAAATTTCCAAGCCAAAAAGCAATGGAATCAATTACAAAATCAATTGCATAAAACTTTAAAGTATTTTCACATTTAAAGTCAAAGGATTGTAAGAAAAAATGGGAAAGTACTTGAAAATGTGATATGGTTAACACTCTAAATAAAAATAGCACTCAGGCATCTATAGGTAAGTGGACATGAGGTGATATTTACAAAAGAAATATAATAACTAATGAGATTTGAAAACCTCAAATTAAGGACATAATAAAAAAATTTATAAGGCTATCAGACATGCAAAGAAACATGAACAAAACTGTTGATCCATAGTAAGGGGGTAGCTAGTGTAGTAACTTCCATACCTTGGAATACTGTGCAACTTTTAGAAATGATGTATATGAAGAATTTTAATATAAGAAAATGCTTATAAAAACAGAGGATACATTATACATATTGTTTGATAAACCTTGAAAATGCAGGGGCGCCTGGGTGGCTCAGTCGGTTAAGCATCCGACTTTGGCTCATGTCATGATCTCGCGGTTTGTGAGTTCCAGCCCCATGTTGGGCTCTGCTGACAGCTCAGAGCCTGGAGCCTGCTTTGGATTCTGTGTCTCCCTCTCTCTCTGCCCCTCCCCTGCTCATGCTTTGTCTCTCTCTGTCTCAAAAATAAAAAAAGTTAAAAAAAATTTTTTTAAATGCATAAAATTAGAGGAATACACCAATATAACAATAGTGATGATCTCTAATGGCATCATGCCCATTTTTCATTCTCATAGGCTTTTGTTTTTACATTTTCTTCGGTAATCATTAGCTTACTTAATATCAGAAAATAGAAACATGCTAAAAAAGTAAAAAAACAATATAATAGAACCAATATGACCTCTTTCTATGCGTTACACATCCCCTTTCCCTAATAGAAATAAAGTATGATCTCTGCTACCTCCTTAAAAGTCTTGACAATGTCTATTTTGCAAATATACTACCACATTAATTCATTAAATGCAGGATTCTGTAATGAGCACAGAAAAAATATAAAATCTCAAATATAGAGGCTGAAAGGTAGACTAATGACTTTTCCCTACACAACAAACTGCATTTAATCACTTGGCGCCTTAATACTATAATTTTCTTTTGCACCAAATCTAAATGTATTTTTAGAATATGAATTCATATGCATTATTAGATTTAAAAAGGGGGTTTGTGTAAATAAGTAAATATATTAAGCTTCTAATCACATTAGAGGTGATGAACATTTTCATTTTACACTGTTCTAGGATTTATACCTGTGATACATGCCTATACTGACATTTTGGGCATCAAAGGTCTCAAAATGATGATGCTCATTAGATACCAGGGACCATATGAAGCCCTGATTTCCTGATGAATTGTTGATTGCTGTTACAAGGGAGCAACTGAATAGTAACACTAAAAGAGCAAATAAACTGGGTGTAAAACCTTCCTCAGAACCAGTAACACTGCTCCTAGTAAAAAGTGGGTGGGAGGCTAGTGTGTAGGGTCATCTTGGTCTTGAGGCTTTTGGTATCAGAACGTGATGATAATACTCTCGAAGATCTTGAGAGTGAAGATAATACATAGCAGCAGCTAACATTTGGGCATTTACTGTTTCCTCCTCTTTGTGCTAAATGCTTTACTGTATTTCAGTTAATCATTTAACCCTCCCTGTCAAAAGAGATGATCCCAATTGACCATCTCTAGGAAATAGGTGCCTTAATTTCTTCATCATATCCATCCCTTTTACCCGGAGTTCTGAATATCTGAGCTAAGTGAGAGGGTCATCAAACTTGGTAGATTAATGCAGTAACTAGCTTAGCTCCTGAGAACATTTTTCAACAATGGTCATTATACAAATCCTAACAGTAACAAAGACACCTTTTCCTTTTCTTTCTTTCGTCTTTTTTTTTTTTTTTTTAACTGAGCGGCAAGCACACAGCAATCCGTTTAATGTGAAAGGTTCAACTTGAAGCTCTGGCCTCTCAAGGCTCCGCCCCAGGATCTAGCCACGCCCCTGGGAGTAAGTAAGGCCTCTACCTGCCTCCCGAGGAAGGAACTTCACGCGTGCCTCTCGCGGGATCTTTTTGGCGAGATTTCTATAGCGCTGGCAAAGCAGTGTCTCGCGGGAAGTTGAACCGGAAAAGTGAGGGTTGGAGGCGAATGCGGTGGAAGCTCGCGCGTGAGGCTGTGCTTTTTGGTTTCCTGGAGGTTTTGGATGCTGGATGGTTAGACCTTTTGTTTGGCATCTCCCAGCGGGATAATGTTGACCCGGGTGAGGGCTGGGACCCAGCTGGGCGCCTCGGCGAGGGAGGGGGTCGGGATGGGGGAACTTCGCGAGCTGTTGGTTTCTCTGGCTTCACTGTCCAAAGCCCTAGAATAATGCTGAATGCTCTGATGCCTTCTCGTGAGCGTTCTCAGTCGTTTTCTCCCAAGACTCCCCTGCACCCCAAGTAACTTGTCTGCAATCCAGTCTTCAAACTTTATGACCTACACCCCTCAGCTTTGAACACAATGCAAGCTCCTCAAGGACTGAGATTATCACTGTTCTGTCCTGGGAGCTTAGAACGATGTTACGTATCAAGCCCTCGATTAAGTTTGGATCCAATTGCAAGGAAGTTTCCACAGGAATCGAGTGCCTTTTTTCCCCCCTGAAATAAGCTCTTTTATTTTAGAACACTTTTACAAAAGTTGCAAAGATAATACAGACTTGGATATGCTTTTCACCCAGTTTCCCCTAATGTTAACACCTAGATTGGCTTATTTAAGTTAATTTTGTTCCTTTAACACAGCTTCTGTTAATGCCACTAATTCTTTAACCTTTGTTTTCCATTTGACCAATAATTATTTGAAGACACCCTCTTTTTTCATAAATAGAATGTCATAATACAGTTTTGTTGCATTTGAGGTACTGCTCCCTTGCAAGAACTAGTCATGATTTTAAAACATGTTCTTTGTTGAGAACTGAGAACAAACTAAGGGTTGATGGGGG